ATTATTATTATTATTATTATTATTGAAGTTTACTTTGTTTCTTAATTCTTCCTTCCTATTTTCGAAACTGTTGGTCTTCGAGTTCCTGTTCAATATATCAGAGATAATAACAATTTTCTTTCCGCTAGTAGTGGAACAGCTGCTAATGTTGTTCGAAGGGACGTTGACGTATTCGGAGCTAAAGTTGATCCACTTAATTATATAATTATATACCATAAAATCGTACTTTTTAATTATTAATTATTGAATATTAATTTACCTAGTTTAAACAGGAGCCTGGATAGCGCAGTCGGTATAGCGACTTGCTACGGACTGGATGATCGAGGGGTCAGAGTTCAAATCCCGGTAGGGTCAAGAATTTTCTTCACGTCATCCAGACCGACTCTGGGGCTCAACCAGCCTCCTATCCAATTGGTACCGGGGTCTCTTTCCCTGGGGATAAAGCGGCAGGGGCGTGAAGCTTACCACTCTCCTGCAGCTAGTGCCGAGGTCAAGAAAACGCGGATCTATTCATCCACTCCCCCATATGCCTTCATGGCGTAATGCGTAATTAGTTAAGCACAGGAACATTTTTAATGTGGGTATATTTCTTTTCAATTCGACATGGTTGGCAAGATTGCACCAAATGAATGTTTACCATCTAAAGGATATATGATTTGCCTTGTTTTGCCTTTATTTGTGTGTATGTATTTGTATTTCTTTGCCACTTTGCATGTCAATACTTTACGATCGGCCTTCCGGATATTGAACATGCACGTAAATAAATAGGATAAATAACTGAATTATTGTTACTACATTGCTTTCAACTTTTTGAGGGAGCACGCGGTAGCGTAGTTGGTTGAAGCGCTATGCTACAAGCCGGAAGGTGATGGTTTCGATTCCCGATGAGGTTATTGGATTTTCTCGTATGACCCAATCCTTCCAGCCGCACTATGGCCCTGGGGTTGACTCAGCCTCTAACAGAAATGAGTACCGGGAAACTTGCTGACAACCTCACCGCCATCTGTGAGCCGATTGTCTAGAAAATGTGAGAGCCTCGACTTGTCACAATCCTATGGGCCTCTACGGCCTGTTACAGGGATAATTTTACCTTTTTAAGCTTTTGTCTTGTTTTTGTTGTTCTTAGTTTGATATATTGATGGTTATTTTGTAACCGGTCAGTAGGCTATGAAGGTGGCGCGTAAATAAATAAACAATTAAACTGAATCATTGTTTGCTGTTGTACAGTTACAGTACTTAACAGAAACAATGAAAGAATTTATTATTAATACTCAGTATTCGAATATTTTCGAGGGCCGTCCTTGCTTTTACGAGAGCTAAACTCTTAACAGTAATGCCAATGAACCTTCTCAAGGCGCTTATTCAGACTTGGGGAGACCTCACATCCGAGAATCGCGCGCGACACGAAGAGACAGGATCATCTTCACTATCGGAGTAGTTGTAACCTACTTTCCCTTCTGAAGGAAAGCTCGTAGGCTTATAAAATCAACTTGATATCTGGTCACAAGGTCACCGATTTTCATGAAATTTAGTATGAACGTATTATGATAGAACGGCCTCTGTGGTCTAGTGGTCAGTGTTCCTGGCTTCGATTCCCGGCGCTACTAGTTTTTATGAGAAGTAGTGACTCTGGAACGGGGTCCACTCAGCCTCGTGACGATAATAGAGGAGCTGTTTCAAGGAAATAGCGGCTCCGGTCTGGAAAACCGAAATTAACGGCCTTGGAGATTCGTTGCGCTGACCACGTGACAACCTCTATCCGCTAAAGTTGGCACTAACTTCGCCGACATGCGGCGGTCGCTCGGTCGGTATAGTCTGCTTGTGGACTCAAGCCACGGAATAGTAAGTAAAAGTGTTTTATGGTAAGGAGACATCTCAACCCCGTTAAATTTTTAGTTCTTTACGCTAGTAATTCGATGACCTCATCGGGGCTCGAACCCGCTACTTTCCGGCTTGTAGCATAGTGCCTCAATCAACTACGCTACCCACTCTCCCACACGCCTTCATGGCATAACAAGTTAAGCACAGGGACAACTTTGCCTTACCTTTTACACTCAGTGAAAACAACATGGAGGCAGCATGAACTATGATAGTTATAAGTAATGACGCATGTCGAAAACGCTGAAATAATCAGATTAAGCGATACGAAAGCAGGGGTAATACGAGTCGCCACCGCAAGCTGCGATCTGGTGGTTAGTTCTTCTGTTTTGAATTCGAAAATTTCCGGTTCAAGCTCGGCAAGCTTAGGCATTATAACTGAGGATTTCGTAGCTTTCCCCAGTTCCGTTCAGACGGATATCTGGATAATGAAGACATATCACGACCAGTTGTTTCACAGCCTTCAGAATACATGGTTCATATCCCCATTCGATGGTGTATAACCAGCGAAGAAATAATAAATAATAATGGTTCAAGCAGTGACGTTTGCTTTAGGGAGATGCTTGCTTCGAATCTCCATCGGGAGCCCGGTTATTCTGAGCTTTCTTATTTTTTCTTCTTAGTTTTCCCAAGCTGGACAGTGTCTCAAATTAGGCCACGACCGCTTCCTTACACATAATTTACAATTAATTACTCATTAAATATCGTATCATTCGGTACTATGTAGTCTGAGCCACTGACTGTATCGCTAAATAAAATATAAATTTGCCCCTGTTCTTAATTAAGTACCATGCCTTAAGGACGTATGGGGAGAGGAGTTATAGCTCCAAGCATTAGATGAAGGTGAGTGATGAGCTTCAGGCTCCGGCCGTTCTATCGCCGGGGAAAGAGTCCATTAGATAGGCTGGGTGAGCTTCATAACCTATCTGAACGCTTTGCAGAAGAGACATTTTTCCTGCCCCTGCCGGGAATTGAACCTCGAACCCTAGGGCGCCCAGCCCATAGCTCGTCAGTGTGCAGATCGAGCTATCTCGTTTCTTAGCGTAGTAAAATAAATCATAAATAAATAAATAAGTAAGAGGCTACGACTGTATCCTGGATACATTATTCTGAAGTATATACTCTATTTTCATTCTAAGTTATAGTATAACATGTGCGCATGATACAGCGTTGTTAATAACCTGTGAATGTTATGAAATATATGACACTCATTATAGGGGCCGCGTAGACTAAGATGCGTACTGGTTTCGACCTCTCGAACAATGGGATCTTCGGTTCGAATCCCATTCGGAGTATGGTTGTATGACCGCGTTTCTTCTATTTGTATTGTCCTGCGTAGATAGAGGTTTTACCATAGGCCGATCTCCCGTCCAGGAAATCCTACGCGATTTGCCAAAAGGTTCTAACAGTATGAAATTAATTTTGGATCGAATCAGACCACAGGGCCTAATTCGTAAAGCAGAAGACGAAGAAAAAATGTAGCAAGAGTTTTATTTTTTTTGCCCGTCTGTATTCGACACCAGTTTGTCATTAGTGACTCGTTTGACCAGCTTCAAGGCGATCAGCTGACTGCCATTGTTGTTCCTGCTAGTGAAGGCGTGTCGTGACGTCAAGCCTGATACTCATGAGCTCTGCAGGGAGGCAGGCAGTCGTGATGTGCCAGTAGCGCTTGTGTGTTCGAAGCGATTGATCGCTGAAAAGCTGCCGCGCGGAGTAGCTGCGCGCGAAGTGTAACCTGTGACCACCGCAGTCTAGTCCAGGCTTGAGGCAGTGGTAGGCAATACATTTAGGATTCAGTGCATTGTTCGTGGGATTGTGGCTGTGAAAGACAACACGTGAAGGGATGAAATGAAGTGTGCGCAAGCTCCGTTAATATTTCTTTTTCATTTCAAATTCATTCTTTTTACATCTGCGTTATAGAGCTGCTGAAACGAGACAGTGTGACCGTCCTTTTTTGTACTATTCTTTCAGTGATAATACATGACATTTGTAAGTCTTCCTCGTGTTCCTGGTCACATTTTCTCCCCTCACCCCTTTGGGTTAAGCTGTGAATACACGAAGAGTAATGATGGTGCTTGTTTCATTTGACTGCTAGACGCTGGCCAGTGTACCTTTGCAATACAGAAAAGGAAATGGAGAGACAGGTCAATGAGAACATAACCTGTTTCTAATCATAGAGAAGACAGCCTGCTTTATGAAATTTATGTTAGGGATTCTTTTCCTTCATATGGACCAGTAAACAGCTCAATAACGTTATTCATATGACGGGAGAAGATTTAAACGTGACGCAAGTTCTTTAATTATAATGCAGTGAGTGACGCGTAGTAAATATGTGCACTATCTTGTTTACATAAAGAATAGAGAGCTATCTAATGCCTCAAGAAAATGTATTATCTGGAAAAGCTGTGGATTAAATTTCCACGCCTGGTTAAAGAAACATCAACATAAAGACAAACTACTGGAAAAATTTAGGCAAAATAAAGAATTTTTAATATATACTAACAATTTAGACATACTTCAAAAGAATTTGTGACTTAATATATTGTGTATTGTTAAGAAGAAAAGTATTTTGGAGTGTTCACGTGTGTTAGTGATAACACTGAAATAACCCAAGATTTCAACACATTTGTTGTTTAATTTCGAAAGTAGCAAGTGTCTAACGTCCACGATGCATCTGGTCACTGACATTCTTTGCGCCCTTCTGTGCCTCAATTATTTACTCCCCGTGTGGTCCACATCTCTGTCAATGTCACGTGCGGGAGATCTTACCACAGCTTTTCGTCTAGGGGACCATAATATAAGGACTGGCTCCTGTATATATGCCTATATCAATACAACTTATAATATGAGTGATGGGGTGATGCATTCTGATAACACAGAGTCTGGAAAATACGGTGAATCTTATGTGGGTCCGGCGTCCGGAGTTCTGATACACGTTAGGTCGAAGAGAACAGGAGAACCCACTGCTTGCACTTGGCCCTTGATGACTTATAGTACTCACGACCACAAGCTGCCCGTATCTGAGCCGTGGATTGCCCTTATCAAGCGAGGTCAATGCGAGTTCGCTGTGAAAGTGTTGAATGCTATACTTAGCAATGCGTCTGCTGTGCTTATATACAATGACAAAGAGACTCATATTCTCGACAAAATGAGCATTCCACCTGAACTCAGTGAGTATATTTATATTTTTTACATTAGGTCATTAAACTGCAGTGCTGTCGCATTTTATGCGAGGATGCGTTCCTGATTCATGAAGGCCTCGCATAGTTCAGTACCAATTTTCTCATAGGAATAACACGTACATAATTTTTGCCAGTTGGGGGGGGGGGGTTCGCATTATTTCAAATTTTGTGTGTAAAGTGAGACTTTATTCATATTTTTCATATCGCACTACTTGACAATCGCATAAAGTGCGAACGCACTGTATGAGGTACTCTGAACATTTGCTGGCATGAAGTTTATAATATTTTATGCTGAGATAATGTAAACTTTTCTACTCCGAATCAGTTCTTTGTTCATTTTATGCCTGTGATTACTGCATATGCACAAATTCACTGTGGTAGGATGTCCTTATTGTTGTGTTTTGTTTGAACGTGTTGTCACTTAGTGTAATGTGTGTTACTTGTCTGTTGTGTCCTATTGTGTACTACTGCCACCGGGCTAAAACCCAATTGCAGTATTANATACGATACGATATGAAGTAGAAAGTGTTCGATATGGATTCAGGTTATCGATATATCGCGTAATTTATTTACAACATAAAATTACTGTTATTGATCGACGTGTGTATTGAATTAGACATCAAACGCTGTCTAGTGGTTAGACCTTTTGCTGTATTCTGAGGGAGGGCGTTCTGGGTTCGGTAACCGGAGACTAAATAGAACATGATCTGTTTAGTACAAATATTTACTCGCAAACTAACCTTTAATAAAATACAGATGCTGCTGGAAAAAAGATGACTTTCATTGATAACATTAACATTAATTATAACAGAAGTATGGATGGGGGAGAAAAGGACTGCATATAGGGTTTTGGTGGGAAAGCCAGAAACTAAAAGACCACTAAGAAGACCTAGGTGGGAGAATAATATTAAAATGGATCTTAGATAAGTAGGATGGTGTGTAATGGACTCCATTGATCTAGCTCAGGATAGGGACAGGTGGCTGGCTTTTGTGAATACGGTAATTAACCTTTTGGTTCCATAAAATGTTGCAGAATTCATAAGTAACTGAGCCACTGGTGCCTTTGCAAGAAGTACTCGGCTGCATGGAGTTAGTAAGATTCTTTTTTATTGCTAGTGGGGTGGTACTAAGTCCCTTGTACTGCGGCCACTTCTGGCCTATTGTACCAGCCCCAGATGATAGGTGAGGGTGATTGTGGAGCAATGGGTGGAATGAAGATTGACAGGGGAAACCGAGGTACTCGGAGATAACCTGCCCCAGCGCCACTTTGTCCACCACAAATCCCACTTGACCACACCCGGGATCGAACTCCGGCCGCAGCGGTGGGAAGCCAGCTACTAACCGCTTGAGCTATGGCGCGGCCCCGGTTAGTAAGAAGCAACATGGTTTGCTAAAATTCGTGAAATAATCTTTCCATCTCATTCGATTATATGGAACATATGCAGCAGAAATTCGCAGGTAAGTAATTCGAGAATTTGTCAAAAAGCAGTTCTTGATAATCTAATGTAACATGAACGGTTCGTGGAAGGAACGTTACTGGCGTTTCTTTGAAAGTAAACATTCGTAAACTTGTTTTAGTCTCAGTAAACATTTACGACATTCCTGTTTACTAATGAGTCAGAGAAGCTTTTCAGTGTCGTGAACACAGCTGAAGTTAAAATTAAGTATGAATAACCCATTGTGAATGTATATAATTGTAAGGAATTCCGAGTCTGAATATCATTATGTTTTACTGTTATATGTTTGTAAACACACACACATATAGTTCTTAATGATTAATAAATTATGATTCAGGGTAAATTTAATTATCTAAAATTTCAACTTAATTTACCAAGAAAGACAATAATTAGCCGAAAAATGTAAAGGCTTCTTTTAAGAATGTGTTGTTAATCCCATGAATATTTAACTATTATTAATAAAAGAAAGGCTCTTCATTAGTTAACAGGGGCGCATGGTAGTATAGTTGGTTGAGGCTCTATGCTACAAGAGGGAAGGTCGCGAGTTCGAGTCCCCATTATGTGGATTTTTTCAATTTACCTACTCCTTCCAGCCTCACTATGGCCCTCATGTCGACTCAGCCTCTAATAGAAATGAGTACCAGGAATCTTCGTTGGGGATGAAGGGCGGCCGGCGCGTAAGGCTGACAACCTCGCCGCCATCTGTGAGCCGATTGTCTAGATAATGTGGGACCCTCAACGTCTCACAACCCTATGGGCCTCCATATAGCTTAACTTTACTTTACTTTACTTTACTTTTACTTCATTAGTTAAACGCAATGCGTAACAGATCGAAAACTGTCGCGACAGGTTTGTGTAACTCTCGTCCCTTCTGTATTTTATTGTAGTGTAATGGGTGTAAAGGGAGCTGGGATAGTTCAGTCGGTATAGCGACATGCTGGACGGCCGGGGTTCAATTCATTGCAGAGGCAAGAGATTTTTATTTCCTCCACAGCGTCCAGACCCGCTCTGGGGCTTACCCAGCCTTTCCCCGGGGTGAGGGTAAAATTGCTGGGGCGTAAAGCTGACCACTCACTTCTAGTGCCGAGGTCAGGAAGGATGGAGCTATATCTCCACTACCCATATATCCTCATGTCCTCGTGCTTAATTAATGAAGTACAACGCGGTAGCGTAGTTGGTTAAGGGGCTATGCTACAAGCCGGAAGGTCGCGGCTTCAAGTCCTGATGAGATCATTGGATTTTTTTTCAGTTGACCTAATCCTTCCAGCCGCACTAGGCCCTGGGGTTTACTCAGCCTCTAACAGAAATGAGTACCAGGAATTAATTAAATAATTTTCCTGGGGAGTAAAGGGCGGCCGGCGCGTAAGGCTGACAACCTTACCGCCATCATTGAGCCGATTGTCTATATAATGTGGGACCCTCAACGTCTCACAACACTATGGGCCTTCACGGCCTGGTACAGGGATAGCTTTACATTTTTTTTTACATGGTTAAATTCACCTTTCCTTACAAATGGATCTTCCTGTGCTAAATACCGGGTAGGTTTGCAAGTTCACATAAACTGAGTTCGACTACCTGCAGAGGTAGTGCTTTCTCGCCATTACATCGTAGTCAGCTCTGGAGAGTTCACCAAGTTTCTCCTGTTATGTGGTAAAATGGCTGTAGCGTGAAGCTAGTGTCAGTGTTAAGAGTCCGTGGACATAACATGTCCAATTCCTCATACGTTTCCATGGCGTGATTATAACTTAAGAAAACAGACAGCCTTATTGCAGAGACGTGACAAAATAAGTGTTTTTTTTAATGATAAGTTTGCCTGTGGTTCTGTATGGGTGTGAAATCTGGTCTCTGACTTCAAGGGAGGCACATGGACTGAGGCTGTCTGAGAACAGGATGCTGAGAGAATATTTGGACCGAAGAGAGGTGAAGGGACAGGAGCTTGGAGAAAACTGCATAATGAGGAGCTTCAAAACTTGTACGCTTCTCCAAGTACAATTATAATGATCAAGTCAAGTAGAATGAGATGGGTAGGGCATGTAGAACGTATGAAGGGCCCATGAATGCATGTAGGATTTGGTGGGAAAGAGACCTCTAGGAAGACCTAGACGTAGCTCGGAGGATAGAGGAGTACTGAGTGGATTGATCTGGCTCAGGATAGGGACTGGCGGGCTCTTATGAATACGGGAACGAATCTCTGGGTTCCATAACAGTTTGGGAAATTATTGAGTAACTGAGCGACTGCCAGCTTCTCAAGTAGGGCTCAGCATCAAGAAGTTAGTTATAGAGGACCACATTGAATTAAATTACACGATATAAAAGAAGGAATAGTTAAGAGATATAATTAAGGTTCGTAAGTAATTATTTTTGAAAAATTTCTACATCACAATTTAAGCCACTTTCGTAGGTTGAGGGGGCCTCGAACTTTCTTATCCGCAGTTACATACTGAAGCACGCTGTTGCGTTATGATTTCAGCACGAATGTGTTATCGACCCGCTCTTCGCAACATGTCGGTGACTTCACGGTGTCACTGTACACTTACTGGTATTATGTTATTTCATAACATATTTCAGCCATCATGCGACCATTGTCAGGTGCTCCATTCGATACGGAAGCCTGTGCACTGTGCATGCGTGTAGCGTACCTGATGATGGCCACATGACACACAAACACAGGGCATAGGACAGATGAGAGAGATTACGGGACAGTAACAAATGTGGGGACCCCATCAGATATCTAAACCCATATGAATTTTATTTATTTTTTAATTAAACACTGCGCCATGAAGGCGTATGGTGAAGTGGATGTATAGATCCACATTTTTATAACTTTGGCACTAGTTGGAGGTGAGTGGTCAGTTTCAAGCCCCGGCCGCTTTACTCCTGGAGAAAGGGCCCCAGTACCCATTGTATAGGAGGCTGGGTCAGCCCCAGAGCCAGTCTGGACGACGTTGAGAAAAGAAAATTCTTGACCCTACCGGGACTCGAATTCCGACCTCGCGGCCGTCCAGCCCATAGCCAGTCGCTGTATCGACTGAGCTATCCCGGCTCCCAAACCCACATAAATATATTTACTAAACACCATAAGTTTATTATGATTTATTAAAATAAAATTTAAAATATATAATGAAGAGATTTTAAGTGTTATGTCATTTTACGTATACTTTGATGATGATTTAATATTTTAAATTAAATAAGGGTATATTTGCCGGTCACGGTAGCCGATCAGTCTAAGGCATGTACTGTCTTCGCTCGCTTGGAAACCGGGATCGTGGGTTCGAATCCCATTCAGGTCATGGATGTTTAGTTTGTGTGTGTGCGTTTTTCTGTGTTTGTGTAAAGGTAGAGGCCTTGCGACGAGCTGATCACCCGGCCAAGGAGTCCTACCGAATGCGTAAGATCTAGAAAGCCGAAGTGAACGGAGAAGTTTATGGAGGTAGGCCTAGGCCCACTGGGGCTGTAGTGCCAAGGGGGCATGGGGCGAATAACTGCTGTATCCTTCTGTATGGGCCCACTGAAACGTGTTGCATACTAACA